CACCCAGCTGTTGGAACACTGTGCTGAAGCAGGATTTTTATCAGCCACGAGGCTTGTTCGCCTATCCAGGTTTCTGTTTGGGTGAAATAAAGATATGTTTAAACCCCGTGTGACACTGCACGCTATTGATTACATAATGAACTGATGGTATGTAACATTCACACCAGGAATAACCAGTCATGGCCACCACCTTAAGTAGATTTCACTGAGCGGCAGAGTAGCCGTGAACATCACCTGAATGAGTGACAAGCACTTTTCGTATCGATCTGTCATTTTATAGTCTGTTTGCAGTGAAAACGTACCGATGAATTTCACTTTAAACAAAAACGTAAATCGAATAAAGTGAAATTAAGATGACGAATCATCATAATGTTACCTTGCCAATTGAACATTTAAATCTCAGAATTTTATTCAACTTAGGATAAAAGTTGTTTAACACACGATCATAGTTTCAAATCGCTATTATTGGTTTGTATTACAAGGGGGTATGCACATTAAATGAAACACCGAGAACAAGTAAGTTAACGCTCATCACGTACCGCAAGTGCATTTGTTTCACTGTTCCAACTACTACACTTACCCCCTTGTAATACAAACCAATAATAGCGATTTGAAACTATGATCGTGTGTTAAACAACTTTTATCCTAAGTTGAATAAAATTCTGAGATTTAAATGTTCAATTGGCAAGGTAACATTATGATGATTCGTCATCTTAATTTCACTTTATTCGATTTACGTTTTTGTTTAAAGGGAAATTCATCGGTACGTTTTCACTGCAAACAGACTATAGCTACCGGCATCATTAGAGGTTATGTGATCTTCCTGTCTATCGCCCTGTACAGATACAATGATGCCCATTTTAACTCAAGCAAACATTTCTCTTTTGTTATTGCATGCACACGTTGAGTCTGGACATAGATACAGACAGTACTATCTGAACCTTTCGTCCAGATCCTGTACAGCAGACACGTGCATCAATCAACTAGGTGCTGTCTCAGGTAATCACGGAGATTACTACAGAATATCTTCAGCTTACAGGTAAGTACTGGGCGTGGCTGCCCGTGTGTATAGTCATCAAGCATATTGGATGTCAACTGTGTAGTGACCAGTCACGTGAGGTGCAACCAGAGGCAATTCAGTGACCGTCAGTAAGGACAAGAAGTGGCCGGTCGGTGTTCAGGAAGTAAGTGCACTGTACAGTGTGTACAGTCAAACATGACAAGTGATAATTGCTGTTGTTTGGTATGAAGTGGATGGTCGCTGTTTACGTTGAGTGAGTATAGGTTGAGTACAGATCAATATTCCAGCAATATCAGGGTGTACATTGTGTAGTGTGTACACATAGTGTATATCATAAACACATGTTCATGATATAGCCGAAACCAGAGAATCAGAGAATCTGTTTACTAAATAGTGTATGGTACATGGTGTATGGTGTATGGTGTATGGTGTATGGTATATGATGTATGGTGTATGGTGTATGGTGTATGGTGTATGGTATATGTGGTTTATGATGTATGGTGTATGGTGTATGGTATATGATGTATGGTGTATGGTGTATGGTATATGGTGTATGGTATATGATGTATGGTATATGATGTATGGTGTATGATGTATGGTGCATGGTGTATGGTATATGATGTATGGTGTATGGTGTATGGTGTATGGTGTATGATGTATGGTATATGAGGTATGGTATATGATGTATGGTGTATGGTGTATGGTGTATGGTATATGATGTATGGTATATGATGTATGGTGTATGGTGTATGGTGTATGGTGTATGATGTATGGTATATGATGTATGGTATATGATGTATGGTGTATGATGTATGGTATATGATGTATGGTGTATGGTGTATGGTGTATGGTGTATGATGTATGGTATATGAAGTATGATGTATGGTGTTTGGTGTATGGTGTATGATGTATGGTATATGATGTATGGTGTATGGTGTATGGTATATGATGTATGGTATATGATGTATGATGTATGGTGTATGGTGTATGGTATATGATGTATGGTATATGATGTATGGTGTATGATGTATGGTATATGATGTATGGTATATGATGTATGGTGTTTGGTGTATGGTGTATGATGTATGGTATATGAAGTATGATGTATGATGTATGGTGTTTGGTGTTTGGTGTATGGTATATGGTGTATGGTGTATGGTATATGATGTATGGTGTATGGTATATGAGGTATGATGTATGGTGTTTGGTGTATGGTGTATGATGTATGGTATATGATGTATGGTGTATGGTGTATGGTATTTGATGTATGGTATATGATGTATGATGTATGGTGTATGGTGTATGGTATATGATGTATGGTATATGATGTATGGTGTATGATGTATGGTATATGATGTATGGTATATGATGTATGGTGTTTGGTGTATGGTGTATGATGTATGATGTATGGTATATGAAGTATGATGTATGGTGTTTGGTGTATGGTGTATGGTATATGGTGTATGGTATATGATGTATGGTGTATGGTATATGAGGTATGATGTATGGTGTTTGGTGTATGGTGTATGATGTCTGATGTATGGTATATGAAGTATGATGTATGATGTATGGTGTTTTGTGTATGGTGTATGATGTATGATGTATGGTATATGAAGTATGATGTATGATGTATGGTGTTTGGTGTTTGGTGTATGGTGTATGGTATATGGTATATGGTGTATGGTATATGATGTATGGTGTATGGTATATGAGGTATGATGTATGGTGTATGATGTATGGTATATGATGTATGGTATATGATGTATGGTGTATGGTGTATGGTATATGATGTATGGTGCATGGTGTATGGTGTATGGTATATGATGTATGGTGTATGGTGTTTGGTGTATGGTGTATGGTGTATGGTGTATGGTGTATGGTGTATGGTGTATGATGTATGGATGTATGATGTATGATGTATGGTGTATGGTGTATGGTGTATGGTGTATGGTGTATGGTTAATGGTGTATGGTATATGATGTATGGTGTATGGTATATGAGGTATGATGTATGGTGTTTGGTGTATGGTGTATGATGTATGATGTATGGTATATGATGTATGATGTATGATGCATGGTGTTTGGTGTTTGGTATATGATGTATGATGTATTGTATGTGGTGTATGGTGTATGGTGTATGATGTATGGTATATGGTGTATGGTATATGATGTATTGTGTATGGTGTATGGTATATGATGTATGGTGTATGGTGTATGGTACATGGTACATGATGTATGGTGTATGGTGTATGATGTATGGTGCATGATGTATGGTGTATGATGTATGGGATATGATGCATGATGTATGGTGTATGATGTATGATGTATGATGTATTGTATATGATGTATGATGTATGGTGCATGGTGTATGGTATATGGTATATGATGTATGGTGTATGATGTATGGTATATGATGTATGATGTATGGTGTATGATGTATGATGTATTGTATGTGGTGTATGGTGTATGGTGTATGATGTATGGTGTATGGTGTATGGAGTTTGGTGTATGGTGTATGGTGCATGGTATATGATGTATGGTGCATGGTGTATGGTATATGATGTATGGTATATGATGTATGGTGCATGGTGCATGGTGTATGGTGTATGGTATATGATGTATGGTGCATGGTGTATGGTGTATGGTGTATTGTGTATGGTATATGATGTATGGTGTATGATGTATGGTATATCTTGTATGGTATATGATGTATGGTATATGATGTGTTGTGTTTGGTGTATGGTATATGATGTATGGTATATGGTGTATGGTATATGATGTATGGCGTATGGTATATGAGGTATAATGTATGGTGTTTTGGTGTATAGTGTATGATGTATGATGTATGGTATATGATGTATGATGTATTGTATGTGGTGTATGGTGTATGATGTATGATGTATGGTATATCTTGTATGGTGTTTGGTATATGATGTATGGTATATGGTGTATGGTATATGATGTATTGTGTCTGGTGTATGGTATATGATGTATGGTGTATGATGTATGGTGTATGATGTATGGTGTATGATGTATGGTATATCTTGTATGTCGTATGATGTATGGTATATGATATATGGTATATGGTGTATGGTATATGATGTATTGTGTATGGTGTATGATGTATGGTATATGATGTATGATGTATCGTATACGATGTATGGTGTATGATGTATGGTGTTTGATGTATGATATATGATGTATGGTGTTTGATGTATGGTATATGATGTATGGTGTATGGTGTATGATGTATGATGTATGGTGTATGATGTATGGTATATGATATGTGGTTTATGATGTATGGTGTATGGTGTATGGTATATGATGTATGGTGTATGGTGTATGGTGTATGGTGTATGGTGTATGGTGTATGGTGTATGATGTATGATGTATGGTGTATGGTGTATGGTGTATGGTGTATGGTGTATGGTTAATGGTGTATGGTGTATGATGTATGATGTATGGTGTATGATGTATGGTATATGATGTATGATGTTGTGTGTTTTGTGTATGGTGTATGATGTATGGTGTATGGTGTACGGTAAATGACACAATGGTGGTCTGTTGCACCGGACACGTTATGTTTCATCTGTTTGTAGAGAAATGCACCAGTGTGACGTATATCCATTGAATCTGCGCGCTCTCACCGTGTACACAGAAACCATGCCATTACGTTATGGTTGTAAAGGGCACGCTTGGAGACGTTTTATCGCCTCTGGCTCCAAACAAGGTCACCGTCACCTGTAGGGCGGATTGATAGCTAGACAGATCACCTCACACTTTATGATGACATTTAGACCCGCAGACACTGCAGTCGAACATCCACGCCCTGAATACAAAAACTGCAGTGGAACGTCACATTGTGGTGCTGCGTTCTTCAGTATTTGAATTAGCCACTATTATATTAGCAGTTACTATTTCCAAGCCGTTGACCATGACTGCGCGTTACAGAACAGGTCGAGAAGTCATGTGACTCCAAGTGTAGCCAGCTATGCTCATAGGGCAGTTAGCAGATATACGTCCTCCTGCTGGAGGAGACGGAAGTCGACTGTGAGCTACATGTGATACTCTCGCATTGACGGAACCACGTACAGGTCACATCTATACCTATAGTGAGTATTAATTTGTATAGTTACACTTTTAAGGGCCCGGATGGTGGCTTGTCCCGAGTCAACCAGGAAGTGCCTCAAGGCCCACTCTCATTACTGATCACGTGTGTTGTTGAAGTACCCAGTTTTAACCATCATGCTCGGTTCCCACAACCCATCGCTCACACACGGTCGGCTTTGCCCACCCTTAATATAGATGTATATACTCCGGGCAGCACATGGTTTATAGTTTATAGTCCTTATGTACATCATGCAGTACAAAGTACCCCTATTTACACCCTGTGTCTTCCTGTGTTTAACATTCTGTGAAGTCAGAAGTCGCGCATATATTGCCCGCACTTTCTAGAAGCAAGTGCAGACGGATGTTATCTATATTGCGTCTTCCGCCGCTTCCTGTCTAGGGTCAGTTGGTTCCTCCTTAATATCACTCGTATATCTCAAATTAGCTGATAATATTGTCAAGTCATTCAACGTTAGGGTTGATACTGCTGGCATATAATCATAGAGAAATGGACGGGGAGAAGTAGTAATTAGTGAGACCAGACACCGCATTAATCATATGGTCTCTGATGAAACCTGAGATCCGATCCCTTCAGCCGCCTGTGACGCTCATCACACCCTGGAGCATGTCTAGGGGCATGTCTTCACCATGATACTCCATGGTATCGTCATTCATTCAGTTGATGTAATCCGGATGTAATCAGTGAAGAGGACAAAAGGATGCGATGGCGAGATGGAGGAAGCACACAAACATCCCTGACGAGGTGGAGACAACGTACAGAGATGACAGATAATGCTACTTCAAGAGTATTGTTGTGGCGGTGACGTAGTGTCGCTCAGATGTTCAGATTAACGGTAGTAACAGGCAATTCAACTTCAACTGTTGGACATTAGGAGACTTCAACTGTTGGGTGTTAGGAGACTTCAACTGTTGGGTGTTAGGAGACTTCAACTGTTGGGTGTTAGGAGACTTCAACTGTTGGGCATCAAGAGACTTCAACTGTTGGGTGTTAGGAGACTTCAACTGTTGGGCATTAGGAGACTTCAACTGTTGGGTGTTAGGAGACTTCAACTGTTGGGTGTTAGGAGACTTCAACTGTTGGGTGTTAGGAGACTTCAACTGTTGGGCATTAGGAGACTTCAACTGTTGGGTGTTAGGAGACTTCAACTGTTGGGTGTTAGTTGTTGGGCATCAGGAGACTTCAACTGTTGGGTGTTAGGAGACTTCAACTGTTGGGTGTTAGGAGACTTCAACTGTTGGATGTTAGGAGACTTCAACTGTTGGGTGTTAGGAGACTTCAACTGTTGGACATTAGGAGACTTCAACTGTTGGGTGTTAGGGGACTTCAACTGTTGGGTGTTAGGAGACTTCAACTGTTGGGCATTAGGAGACTTCAACTGTTGGGCATTAGGAGACTTCAACTGTTGGGCATTAGGAGACTTCAACTGTTGGGTGTTAGGAGACTTCAACTGTTGGGTGTTAGGAGACTTCAACTGTTGGGTGTTAGGAGACTTCAACTGTTGGGTGTTAGGAGACTTCAACTGTTGGGTGTTAGGAGACTTCAACTGTTGGGCATTAGGAGACTTCAACTGTTGGGTGTTAGGAGACTTCAACTGTTGGGTGTTAGGAGACTTCAACTGTTGGACTTCAACTGTTAGGAGACTTCAACTGTTGGGTGTTAGGAGACTTCAACTGTTGGGTGTTAGGAGACTTCAACTGTTGGGCATTAGGAGACTTCAACTGTTGGGTGTTAGGAGACTTCCAACTGTTAGGAGACTTCAACTGTTGGGCATTAGGAGACTTCAACTGTTGGGCATTAGGAGACTTCAACTGTTGGGTGTTAGGAGACTTCAACTGTTGGATGTTAGGAGACTTCACCTGTTGGGTGTTAGGAGACTTCAACTGTTGGGTGTTAGGAGACTTCAACTGTTGGGCATTAGGAGACTTCAACTGTTGGGCATTAGGAGACTTCAACTGTTGGGTGTTAGGAGACTTCAACTGTTGGATGTTAGGAGACTTCAACTGTTGGGTGTTAGGAGACTTCAACTGTTGGGTGTTAGGAGACTTCAACTGTTGGGCATTAGGAGACTTCAACTGTTGGGTGTTAGAAGACTTCAACTATTTGGTGTTAGGAGACTTCAACTGTTGGGTGTTAGGAGACTTCAACTGTTGGGCATCAAGAGACTTCAACTGTTGGGTGTTAGGAGACTTCAACTGTTGGGTGTTAGGCTTCAACTGTTGGGCATCAAGAGACTTCAACTGTTGGGTGTTAGGAGACTTCAACTGTTGGGTGTTAGGAGACTTCAACTGTTGGATGTTAGGAGACTTCAACTGTTGGGTGTTAGGAGACTTCAACTGTTGGGTGTTAGGAGACTTCAACTGTTGGGTGTTAGGAGATTTCAACTGTTGGGTGTTAGGAGAATTCAACTGTTGGGTGTTAGGAGACTTCAACCGTTGGGTGTTAGGAGACTTCAACTGTTGGGTGTTAGGGCGTTTGAAGAATGCTGTTGGGCATTAACAGACTGGTAGTTGATAGTAGACTTAAGCTTGTTAAGTGTCAGAAAACGTTTTACTATGGTTTATTCACTTTGTGAAATACATTTCCGAGTCTTATTTTGTATTTTTTACACGCTACATGTTTGTTCAGATCTAAAACATATTGTACTTTTACAGGTATTTTCACGTGATCGGTTCTAGCGGGATGTCCAGCAGGACGTATCGACATGGACGGGACGAGGACCCTGCCCCGCTTCGCAAGCGTCACAAATCGAAAGACCTCATGATGCAGGAACTTAGTTCCCCCGGTACGTGTTGTTATGGCAACAAGATCCGTTCTGTAGCAGTTGTTTCCTAACGTTGTCATCAGTTCATGTCGTATTGTCGATGTACAATGTATCCCTCTACTACAAAAACCACAGTTTCCTAGCAACAGATTAAAAGAAGCAATATGACATCCACTGAAATAGTCCTCAGTCCGTCTCATAGTAGTAGATATGGTTATGGATGCAGCGTGACTGAAATTACGTCAAAGTCCAACAAATGAAGTTCTTTGTTCACTAATAACGATAAATGTGTGTTCTTCCAAATATTTCTCACCATGACATAAGAGGGCACTGAAAGATTCAGGTGATCAGTGGTTGGTAGTGACATGACATATACAAGGTGTAGACGTGTGTTCATGATGTCAGTCACTTGACTGCCTTCTGTAAACTCATTAATATACAAGGAGGGGGGGGGGGGGTAGATGGTTTGGTGTGGAGTGAGGATCACTACCGTGATACATGTAGTTAGTGAGGGAGCGCTCGTGTCTTGACTTTTTGCTCCGTTGACTAGTGGGTATAACAGTGCCCCTTTTCCAATGATACAGGTCAGTCCCCGAACAGGACGTCTGAGGACTCGACCCTGCCGATCATTGCGTCTGTTGCGGACTTCCTTGGAACCGACGTCACAGAAGACGCCTTCCAGAGAGAGGTACTGCAGATGACATCGTATTTCAAACAGTTTAAGACTGGCAGCGAAACACCATCTATTCTACCGACTGGTAAACAAGTGATATACTCGTAAACTGTTAGCTCCAGCATCAAACGTTGTGATGTGCGTACTCGTCAACCTTCTCTCCTACAGGTGGTGCAGAAGACACAGACACACTACATCGGCCGACAGGAGGCGGAGACCGAGGTGATTATTGACAAGCTGATTGACAGATACGAGGGGAAGGACAAGGCGCTGCTGTATGTAGTGTCGGACATCCCCACAGAAATAAAGGTAACATGTGCTGTTGAATGTAGGCGGAACAATTACCAAATTAAAGTGCATGTATTTCAAACTTCCTTAGGTGTCACAATAAAAGTGCGAAAGATCCAAGACATATCTGTATATACAGTGCGTTTCATCATGCCCCGCGGTATTGATCGTTGTTCATAATATCACTCACTGGATATTGTAGTCCTAACCTGATTGTATACGCGTCACCATCATTAACAAACACACAAAGTGGAGACGTCTGTATTTGTATCGTTCCTGTAAATTCAGGGGTAATGCCATCCTCCTGTACCATGCCATGCACCGCTCGCGACATTACAGGCTTCAGTGGAGAGGTTTTTGTTCAAGAGGTTGAGTTCCTGTTCAGGTGCAGATCTTCGTGAACACCCTGCTGCACCGCGGCGCCAACCCATCGACGTGCGACAGCTCCTGGCAGACCCCCCTCCACCACGCCGTCAAGAGGAACTTCAAAGGGGTGTGTAGTAAACTGCTGGAGAACGACGCCCTCCCCCACGTCCGAGACAAGGACAACAACATGCCCTACCACCTGGCCCTCAACAACAACAACGACGACATCGCGGCCCTCATCCTCAACTACATGCCAAACGCCGTGTGAGTAATCCTACACCTATCACAACCCTGACACAAGCTAATCGCAGAGATGTCATTCAAGGATAATCATAGACGTGTCACAACTCTGACACAAGCTAATCTCAGTGATGTCATTCAAGGATAATCATAGACGTGTCACAACTCTGACACAAGCTAATCTCAGTGATGTCATTCAAGGATAATCATAGACGTGTCACAACTCTGACACAAGCTAATCTCAGTGATGTCATTCAAGGATAATCATAGACGTGTCACAACTCTGACACAAGCTAATCTCAGTGATGTCATTCAAGGATAGTCATAGACGTGTCACAACTCTGACACAAGCTAATCTCAGTGATGTCATTCAAGGATAATCATAGACGTGTCACACCTCTGACACAAGCTAATCTCAGTGATGTCATTCAAGGATAATCATAGACTTGTTACAACTCTGACTCAAGCTAATCGCAGAGATGTCTTTCAAGGATAATCCTAGACTTGTTACAACCCTGACAAAAGCTGGTCTCAATGCCGTCATTCAAGGATAATCCTAGACTTGTTACAAACCTGACACAAGCTGATCTCAGTGATGTCATTCAAGGATAATCCTAGACTTGTTACAACTCTTACACAAGCTGTTCTCAGTGATGTCATTCAAGGATAATCCTAGACTTGTTACAACTCTGGCACAAGCTGATCTCAGTGCCGTCATTCAAGGATAATCCTAGACTTGTTACAACTCTGACACAAGCTGATCTCAGTGCCGTCATTCAAGGATAATCCTAGACTTGTTACAACCCTGACAAAAGCTGGTCTCAGTGCTGTCAGGTGCTAGTCACAAGAGATGTTCCACAAATATATTGCTTTAAGACACAACTCTTTGCTTAAAGATCACATATACTCTAGGGGGGTACAAATACATAAATCACTAACTGACATCGCTATAAATGAAACCCCGTCATTAAAACTACTCACTTCGGTCTTTAATTAGCTTAAATCGACCTTTTTGACAACAGTGCACAATTCTCACCCGCGAACGAAATTTCAACCAATCAGAGCGGGGCGTCTCTGTGACGTCATATGAGGAATAGATATGAGGGCCGATGCAGAATTCATCTACATTTCAGGGGGTAAATTATCTTGTTTACAGGTTTGTATAAACCTGAAATCGTGACAGCTGTTGTAGAAAATGAAAGCTATATGTTCTCACAATCTACTGTCATTTAATTTTGTCTCCTGCTTTGCCTACAATCCGAGATACAACTTGTTTTCATAGACGATTCTGTCACAATTGATTGGTATCGTTAGGCCTTATTTGTATAATCACTGATCCAAATTGATCCTATTTCTGAGTTTTTTTACCTCGATATTTAATCATGTCATGTAAAAATATGTTTGTATTCTCAAAATAGTGTCAGCCCATAAGTTTTCACATGCAATACAGCAATTAATACTCCCTTGTTGTAACCCGTGTTAGGTGGTATAAACCTACACATGTTATTTGTCATCATTCACTTGATGGTTAGTTAATGAATTTATAACAGGTATAATTAGTGGTAACACACTTAGATTACCCGACAAAGGTTCCCATTTGGCATTTCTTGTGTCTGGAGTAAATATTCAACACTATAAACATCGATCAAAGGATTAACCGATAACGTGCTGATTGATTAATTACTTTTATCTTAAACAGCGGATTTGTCAAAAGGTAGTGTTTATGTATGTAGATTTACTGATCTATACTGAATACACTCTGTCGTGTCGGTGTCTGCTTAAAAACAACGTCCTTCTTTCAAAGGATTAACCGGCAATACATTGATTGATTGCCCATTATTGGCTAACTAAATTACTGTTTTCAAAGAAAGGCGGACATTCTGCAATTAGTTGCTAGGTGTGCTATCTTGGGTGACCAATGAGACTACACAACAATGTGAAATACCTGAAAAGATTTATCACTTTTTCGTATATTAAACTGTTAAAAGACAGACACATCACTTGGAACAGCTGCAAATAAATGGCATATCACTCGTTTTTGTGGATATTGATGGATACATTCTTCTAACAAGGTAATAGCCTGACATTGTTCCTATAACTTTAATCTGTTTTAATTTTAATATTTGCATTTTGTTTTTATTCATTTGTCGTAGCATTCAACAGAATCATTGTTTTCGCCGTGAAGTGTGATGAGACAGACAACATACACTAGGGTGTGTGTGCGAATTATGATTCACATTGGAAAACTATAAAATGTCTAGATATTACAGTTCTGTTATAAATTCGCTATAAGTATCAGCAGATCGTCTGCTTTTTATTTAGTTTCAAAATGCATACAAGTATGATAATAAACTAATTAGGATTATAAGACCAAATATAAAGACGCACATTGACTAGTATCTACATACTGGTGAGTGGACGTTAACCACGAGAATGTAGCAAGAAATTTATCGCGCAGTATTGTGACTTCGACCCCCACCTCGCTTCCCTGGAAGAAATCGTTATGTTATAAGTTGTGTCATGCAAAATCCTTTTGGTTATAATTCCAATACATATTTAACTGCGAGTAGAAAGTAGTTTTGATTTTCTAACTTGATGAAAACAAACCATAATCTCATTAAGTCTAACAGACTTTAGCCCGTCACTTTACGATTTTCAAAAATGGCGGCGTCCTGTCGTGAACATCTGCCAGTCTGAGGATAAATGCTATTTAGGTTTGTTTTCATCGAGTTACAAAATCAAAACTACTTTCTACTGGTAGTAAAATATGTATTTGATTGATGACCAATAGGATTTTGCATGACATAGCTTATAACATAACAATTTCTCTCGTGGAAGCGAGGTGGGTGTCAATATAATACTACTTACAATATTATTGTTACTTCGACCACAACCTCGCTTCCGATGAAGAAATCGTTATGTTACAAGTTGTGTCATGGAAAATCTTTATGGTCATCAATCATATACATATTTTACTACAACTAGTAAGTAGTTTTGATTCTTTAACTTCCGTGAAGCGATCTGAACACAAGTAAGATATCGTTTCAGGCTTCCACAACGCTCGCTTCGCACTCACAAACATAACCCATTTAGCACGAACTGCGGGGTCCTGTGAAAATCTGTGCATGGTGACACCATCGCCCGACCCCTAGGAGCAATTGACGACAAAGCAACGATTCGGCATGTCGTCGTTGATGTCGAGAAATCATCAAAATGATGAGCGTGCTACACACTTTGTATACAACTAACTGAAAATCGTTCCTCATATGACGTCACTGCAGTGCTCTGGCGACAGAGTTACGTAACCTGTCTGTGGTTTCGTTGGCGGGCGAGAGGGAAGCAGGCGACTTTTTGGCCACTTTTAATCGCTCGGTATTAATTAACTACAAGTTTTTTAAGAATGAATGTGGTGTTCCGCATAAGTCTAACCACAAATCATTAATATGTAATAGTTAAAAGAGTACAAAAAAACCCAAAGTTTATTTGTTCTTTAATACATTAGTATATTTCCTTTAAATGACACCATATGTTATTTTTATCACAACCAGGGTTCGAGAGCTCCATACAGCGGCGGATGACAAAGACTCTGAGGCAGAATGCAAACTACACACTCTCCTACACAATGAGATGCTGGTAAGTATAGGCGTGGACTAGCACACGGTCTTAGTTATGTTGGACAGTATGGTCTGTGTTCTGTGTGTTACAGCAGACTGTCCTGGGTGTGTTGGACTGTATTATCTGTGTTCTGTGTGTTACAGCAGACTGTCCTGGGTGTGTTGGACTGTATGGTCTGTGTTCTGTGTGTTACAGCAGACTGTCCTGGGTGTGTTGGACTGTATGGTCTGTGTTCTGTGTGTTACAGCAGACTGTCCTGGGTGTGTTGGACTGTATGGTCTGTGTTCTGTATGTTACAGCAGACTGTCCTGGGTGTGTTGGACTGTATGGTCTGTGTTCTGTGTTTACAGCAGACTGTCCTGCGTGTGTGGACTGTATGGTCTGTGTTCTGTGTGTTACAGCAGACTGTCCTGGGTGTGTTGGACTGTATGGTCTGTGTTCTGTGTGTTACAGCAGACTGCCCTGGGTGTGTTGGACTGTATGGTCTGTGTGTTCTGTATGTTACAGCAGACTGTCCTGGGTGTGTTGGACTGTATGGTCTGTGTTCTGTGTGTTACAGCAGACTGTCCTGGGTGTGTTGGACTGTATGGTCTGTGTTCTGTATGGGTTGTTGGACTGTATGGTCTGTGTTCTGTGTTTACAGCAGACTGCCCTGGGTGTGTTGGACTGTATGGTCTGTGTTCTGTGTGTTACAGCAGACTGCCCTGGGTGTGTTGGACTGTATGGTCTGTGTTCTGTGTTACAGCAGACTGACCGCCCTGGGTGTGTTGGACTGTATGGTCTGTGTTCTGTGTTACAGCAGACTGCCCTGGGTGTGTTGGACTGTATGGTCTGTGTTCTGTATGTTACAGCAGACTGCCCTGGGTGTGTTGGACTGTATGGTCTGTGTTCTGTGTGTTACAGCAGACTGTCCTGGGTGTGTTGGACTGTATGGTCTGTGTTCTGTGTGTTACAGCAGACTGTCCTGGGTGTGTTGGACTGTATGGTCTGTGTTCTGTATGTTACAGCAGACTGCCCTGGGTGTGTTGGACTGTATGGACTGTGTTCTGTGTGTTACAGCAGACTGCCCTGGGTTATGTGTGTTACAGCAGACTGTGGGTGTGGACTGTACCCAGCAGGCACATCAACGTTGTTTCAACGTTGAGAATAGGTTGATCCTCAACGTTGAAAATAGATTGAAAATAGGTTGTATATGAAAGTTTTTTTGACGTAGATATCCGGCGATGGAATCAACGTTGAAGTTTGACCGATTATCAACGTTGAAAAAAGGTTGTATATGAAAGTTTTTAGGGCGTAGATATCCGGCGTGGAATAAACGTTGAAAGTTTGACCGATTATCAACGTTGACAAAAGGTTGTATATATGAAAGTTTTTCAAGGCGTAGATATCTGACGTGGAATCAGCGTTGAAGTGTGACATATTATTAACGTTGAAAATGGGTTGTTCGTGGTTGTATATGAAAGTTTTTTTGACGTAGATATCCGGCTGTGGAATCAATGTTGAAGTCTGACATATTATTAACGTTGAAAATGGGTTGTTCCGTGGTTTGTGTCAGGGGAGTATTACGCTTTCCTGTAAATAGAGCTAGCACTTCATCTTTAAACTACACTAAAATAGCGCAAACTCCTGCATCCAGCTAAAATACCCAAAAGCTACCTGCAATAAACAGTGTTCAAACAGAAAATTGCAGTAAAATATTTACCTGATTAAATGCTTGGTTAAAATTCCACATTCAATATAATGTTCATTTAAGTTTTATATCAGTTGGACGTTATAATTCAATAAGAAGAAAAGAGTATTCCAAATTAAGAAAAACTATTTACTGTTGTATTGTTACCTTGAAAGGTGGAAATTGTCGAGAAGACATTTTGTCTGAATTTCAGCTATTAGACAGACCCTGAATAAACACAATGCAATTACTTTCACCATGAAGGGATCCAAGACCTAGATGACCAGGAACTATACCTTAAAAAACAGCACATAAAACAAGTCACTTTTCATGAAATCTTTATGAACACACACGCAGAGAAACATGGTTTAATGCATAATGTAAAACATCACACATGACATAGTCTGTAGGTGATCTCTGTTGTGCTAATAACACAATATCATCTGCATATAGCATCAAAGTGACATTTACGCCACCAATTTCAATACCACAGTTCAGATTTTTCAACACAATTACAACTCAAAGCCACAATTATCAGCTCCTCTTTTTCCTGCCACTCCCCGAGCCTGGCGGTCAGGTGGATACTTCAGAAACGTCCCTAACTCTTTCTTGAAATTTGCTTCGGATGCATTCCCATTTCATTCCATATGAGATAGGACACATTCTGAAATTTTATATTTAAATACAAGAATAAGTTATATGGAAGATATATTGTCTTAAATGATTCAAGTATTTGTTTAATCAATCACTTGAAAGGTTCATTTCACTGCTGTAACTTGGCATGTGAACATATAGACAACATCAATACAAAATATGACGAAAAGTGTCAACAAATTTATATTTTCAGGCAGAAGGAATGGAAGTTTTCTTAAACGTCCTCAATTGCAAGTTGATTATTCAATTAGACTATGAATTAGGATGAATTAAATGATGCTTTACTGTCATATATTATTTGCTATGGTCATGATGAATATGCCGCACTTAGTAATTTACTTACCAGAGATGATTGAATACAACCTTGTATTCTTAAAAGAAAACTTGCCGTTTTGCCCACTCCTGACATCAAATTGTTTGACATTGTCCTGCAAAACAATGGAAGATTGTTGTTATTCTGTCAGATTTAGTTTTCTTTAGAGATTCTCGGAAATGATTATTTCAAATTAAAAGGAGTTGTACTGATGTAGCAATTTTGCTACCAGGAGTCATAAATTGTAACAAAACCCGTGAAGGTCCGGGGTAGAATAGCCCTTCAGCAACCCATGCTTCCTATAAAAGGCGACTATGTTTGTCGTAAAAGGCGACTAACGGGATCGGGTGGTCAGGCTAACTGACTTGGTTGACACATGTCATCGGTTCCCAATTGCGCAGATCGATGCTCATGCTGTTGATCACTGGTCCAGACTCGATTATTTACAGACCGCCCCATAAAGCTGGAATATTGCTGAGTCGCGTAAAAACTCAACTCACTCACTCCTCTCACAAAAAGCAATTTTACATTAAATGATAAAGAAAACAAAATGGGTGGTGGTTCACAGGTCAAAGAATAAGTCTATTGTGGAGGTCTCCCAACACCATTTGTTCCCAAACACAAGGAAGTAAGGATCATGGAGTTCTGAAAACAATAATGAGCTCTCATAAGTATACAATATATTCTCTATTATCTACTCTCTCTCTCTCTCTTTGTCATTTGTACACTCATAAAACTCAGATAAATAACTTCTTTATAATTCATAAATGTTTACACTTCATCTCTCTTATAGGAACGCTTAGAAAATCTCTCATATAATGAATTATGTGGGCGTATTATCTGCGACGTCATAACTATGCTTCTCTGAATCATGAACAATAGAATAATGAGATTAAACTCTACGCTGCCAGAAATAATCTATCATACCCTGAATAATAAGACATTGAATAACATCTCTTACAACTCCAATCTACACTCAAAAGACTTAAATGTACTCGTAAACAAACATCGCTGGCACACGCAAATTCTTGGAAACAGTGCATCTCTGACTCTCAATTCAAGAAATGGAAGTCCTAGTCTATTTGACCAAAGGGATCTGGGTGGCCAAAACATATATTGAAATGTAGGTCATACACTGAAAATAACTCTGATTTAAAACACTACAAATATACACCTTCTCTCTAATATATTCGATAGATGATCTTAACAAGGAACATGTACATAAAATGCTGATATCTAACAACACCTGTACTTTAAATAATGGACACTTCAAATCTCAGTATGTTTCACTGCACACATATTAGATTGCAAATAATGAAAAACCTACCTTTGACAATAATAAAAACATCATATTCAAATTCTACAGCTGACCAAATACCTGAAGGGAGTGTGTCTTCCAGCAATAAACATCTATATATATCTATAAATGTATGATTTCTGTCCTCTCAGCGTGCTATCCCATCCAGCTGTTTACGGCGAAAAACAATATGGCGCCAAGCAAGGGAGTGTTCATTAAACTAAACATCTCCCAGGGAGAAACCATTGTCAAATTTTTCTCTTACATGATCAACCTTAATATATAAATGAAAATAAAGTCCAACTAGTATCACCAAAATGACAAAACATTATCACAAATATTCAAAACAGGTGGTAATGAAAGTGCATTATCATCTTTCTCTTAAACTTTGTGGTGGATATACTGGAAACAAGTGAAATGTTAAAAACGTGTTACCTTAGCATTGCTCACTTTTATGTGATCACAAAATTGCCCACCCAGTCTTCGAAGATGAGATTTCTGCAAATTCCATGAAAATTATACCTTATTTCATAATTAAATGTTCCTTACTTTAAAATTACTTCTTTTGTATGTAAGATTTTAACCTTTAAGAGACATGAATTATCATATCCCTTCCAAACAAGTGTAAGTGTAGAATGAAAGTCTGTGGGTGCAGTTTGTTAATTGTCCCATCAAAGAATCATTAGTGAAGTTACACTTTTTGTAAATAAATAAAAGTTCAAATAAATTATATACAATTTCATCCTTAACAAAGACTTTCACAAGACATTTTGATGTGAAAATTTCGTTGCATTTCCTTACGCCATTCTCCACCGGCCCCCTCCCCCCAAATAATATACATATATTGACAGGGTTCAGGGCGTGCTCAATGCATACTTTACTGATAGATCTATTCAAACGAACAAATGTTCATAATAATGGGATGCAATATAAACTGTTGATTAATCCTTTCCGATTTTGTATAGCTGCCCTTAGGGACCGTTCATAATGTATGGCTTTGGGGTGATGTTGAGACGGCCCACCATGCATGTCATGTACATTATCTATGACGCCATCTCCTTCCAATAATTTCTAAACATCATATT